ATTTTTGTGTTTTTCAATTCCAAAGAATATTTATTTTGATAATAAATAAAGAATATAATATATAAATATCATTTGATAAGTCACTTATAATGAAGTTATTATTTCGATATAATCATTAAAATTAAATATCTATTGTTAACATGAATATATTTTAATTGCAAACATCTTATTAGAATAAACATGTAAATTTATCTGATAATTTTTTTGATTAAAAAAAACTGTATCAAATAAAAATACTATATCACTGAAAAGAGAACACTTTGTAGTAATTAAAAGAATATATAATATATTTGTAGGATTTAAAGGAGGATTATAATTTTACATTTCTTGATTACGATTATTAAATAAATAATAAAACATTTAATTTATATTTTCTTAAGAAGGAATATAAAAAAGATTGATTATAAGAAATATATTAATTATATGAATATTCCTTCTATTGATAAAGTATAATTTATAATTCCTTTTTTAAATTTATATAAATTTAAGAGAGATTTACGTCTTAAATATGAATTAGTCATATAAAAATAAAATATTCATTTTATCTTAAGATTTGAGGTTATTAATATTTTTGTTGTTTGCCAAAGAGTTATTTATAATTAACTAATTTTATTGTAAATGTAAAATATGTTTATCATTTCTAGTAATTATATTAATTTATTATGGCATAGATTTCATTTATAAAAGTCTTCGTTAAATTTCCAATTATATTTAAATAAAATTGACCTGAGTCTTAAGGAGCAGATTGTTACTCTCATCTTTGGAATTATAAATGCAAGGTGGTTAATTTTCAAGGAGGATGATTGGTAGTCAATTTGTAGGCAGCTATGACAAAGTTGCATTATGATTACATTATCCTTGAGGGAAACAATGAAATTTAATTTCACAATAGAGAAATTTGTTTATTGGAACCATTAGCCATTATAAGTTTTTATAGGCGATGTATAGGTTTATTCATTAAAACATGATCTTTTGAATGGACACCAAACAAGCAACTTAGGTTTATGATTTTTGAGTATAAATCGTATAAATTTAAGTAAAACGATGGTAAGAACAACACAAAGATTTCTTTATTAAGCAACTTAGATAAAAACTCTTATAAAGTACTAATTTATTATAATATAGAATTGCGGGGTTTTAGGGATGTGAGGGTTGAAATCTTAAATCCAAGTGCGGATTTTTATAGCAATTTTTATTATCAAGGTCAAAGTTTAGTATTAATCTCTTTTTTCAAAAAGATGCTCTATTTTTTATTCAAATCCATTAGAAAACTATTTGTCTAATTATAGTGTATTTCTAAAATTTATCTAAGTTACCTTATGATACAAAAAAAATACATCAACAAAATTTTAATAAGTTTTAAAAATAAATTAATTTATAAAAGGAACTTTCCTTTATAATTGCTAAGGTTCAAACAGGAATAACAAAAGTTATTCTTAATCTTAAAATACATTATAATTGATTAAATATTAGATTATATCTCATTGATTAGCTAATTTGCTGGAATTTGACTATTATTCAGGTAAGTTAAAATAAAATTCAAGCTATCAAAGAATTTATAGATTTTTATATTTATTAATGTAAATTATTTTAAATTAATCATAAAAAATTTTGAGTATTATATTATTAATAAGAATGTGATAATTTTAAATTAGTAGCTCTATGTACTCTAAAATAAATTCTCCATAGATATTTATAAAATCTTTAAATTTCTTTTAACAATAAAATTATGTTAGGAAAGAATTAATTTTTGGCAAGTAGCTTAATTATTAGATTTTATTAAGCAAAGTAATATAATAAATGTATTAATAAACTAATTAGTATAATTCAAACTCATTCTCAAAATCTAATATATTCTCAAGATTTTCTTTTTAAATTTTAAGGTTAATAAAGCTATTTATAAACACAATTCAGGAACTTATAAATTTAATTTGGGTCTTTTTCAGTCTCTATTGTTAAACATCATCTTCTATGATTACGAATTCACTTTGAGTCAATTGAAGATTCTATTAATGGATAAATTAGTCGACCTTTTTGACACAGACACATATCTAAAATTTTAAAGCAGTCATCCATCTAAATCCTTCCTCCTTTGACATTGATCAAATAGTTGTTCCAGTTAGAGGTTAACACGCTCACCTTATTGTCTTTCTCTTTAATCAATTTGTCTAATAGAGATAGTTAGGTGTTGTTGTGCCATACATGATGGAGGTCACCCTCTTCATCTCTCATGACATGATAAGTTGTATGAATCTCATTTATTTGTTGGTTGATGATCACAGGAGTCTTATTAGGAAAGCTGACGGCCTTATGAATGATGATACGGCATTTGAAGGTCTTCTTTAGTTCATCGGCCAATTAGTAAGTGTTCATATTCCGATTAAGTCTGACCGAGTAGAGAAGGGCCCCTGGGTATTCTTGATGCCCATTTACAGCTGTGGGGAAGGTATTTACGACTATTTAAAAATTGATTCGACGCACAGGCAAAAAATGTAATTGAGTGTAACTGATTACATGGGTTAATAAATAAATATTAATATCATTTTTAATTATTGTTTATGAGATTATCAATTAACTTTATAAAGTGATTGTTTCTTCTCTTTTTATATACCTGCAATAATATCTATAATTATTCCTTCACCTTAAGGCAATTAATTTCCAAATTATACCTTTTTGTATTTTAATAAGCCGAGAATCATCATTAGCTTTTAAATCCATACCAATTATTAAATTTATTACATTTTGTTCATCCTTTATATATTTAAATGTAAAATGGCATATCGCCATAAAGAATGATGCTCAGTAATGTCATAGTCATATAAAAAAATATCAAAAAGTTTAGATACTACTTCTATGACCCTACAAGGGTTGCCAAAGAATGCAATTCTTGGTTAAATCACCACTCGAATATTTCAAATATATTTTATTAACTAATTCAATTTTTATCGATCTATTAATTTAACCTTTAACAATGTTTTTATGAAGTATATAAAAATTATAAGGAAGCTATTCTGATGACAATTTATGGCTTTATTAGGGCATATTCTTATTAATAACTTTCTGATAGAAGATGTACTTAAAGTAATAATATTAAAGATTTTACATCTTAAAATATAGTTTACTGGATCTTTCATTCCATATCCATATTCCAAATTTCCATTCTATATTTAATAGTTCATAAGTTAATCTATTTTTTCATTTTAATTCCTAACTTATTTCTTCTATCGCTTGCATTCTAGTTTTTTGAGGTTGTCAGATATATGTAAACTATTTTTAAGGCTAATTTATTGAATATGCCTTAACTACAATGGTATTTTTACTTTCTAGATAATTTTCTTCTCTTTCTTTCCTGAGATATCAATATTTAATCCATTTGACTACCTTATTCATATCATATTTGCCTCTAAAGACATTATTATATGGAAACTCTATTTAATTTTATACTTCTCCTAAGAATATCCTTTTAGGTTCCAGTATAAAATATTTTTGCAGATGAAATCCTATGAATATATTTTAGAAATCTCATTGCTAACTCACTGCATCACTAAATCCTATACATATTTTCCAAAAAATTAACAAATAGTTCTGATGTAAGCCTCAAAAGAATACAAATACTTAATCAAATAAATTATCAAAGGTTTTATCTTTAATAGATATAAAATGATTAAATTAAGATTTTAAATAAATTAATTAAAAGTTATAAAAAGCTAAAGAATGAGAATTAAACTCATATAAGTTATAAATTAATTTCTAATATTTCGATTGAAATAGATGAGAGGATTGAAAATTATGAAATACACAATACTAATCATAAAATGAGGCTAATAAAGTAATTAGATGGAAATCAAAAATGATAGAAATAATCGTGCTTCCATCTATAATAAAAATTATTTTACAAAATAACATGGATTATCGTTAAAGATCAGAACAATCATTATCAGTAATGATTCTAATAAACTAGTACTTAATTCTACGTAAATATCGATAATAAAATCTTCATCCAAATTGTTTTCGTATGCAGTCTTTTCTGAAATTGGGGAAAGTCTATAAAAAAATCCTTCCTAAATATAGGTCTTCTTGTATTGAAATTGAAGTACATTTTGTCTAATCAGCAATTCAAACCCTTACTTTTTAACTAATTATGTCAAATCAGAGAAAATGAAGATTTAAAAAATAATCATTAAGGTATCATAATTCTGCAATTAATAAATTCACAAAATAGGCTTAATAAAAAAATAAAGATTGAAATAGTTAACAGCTAAGAGAAGTTAAAGTGATTTTGGCAATTTTAATAAATTTTTACTTCATCTAATCTTATCATGTTTAAGTTTCAATAGTCTCTTGATTTTTATCTTATAGTTTAAGATTGAATATATATCTTAAGTTTCACTATTCTCTTTTCATAAGTCATCACGCTTGTTCATTTAATTATTAATTTAATAGCAGGAATCCTTTTACTTAGAGAAAAATTAAAGAAGTAAAATTTCTAAATGATTTAACAAAAAGTCTGCCAAGATAAATTTTGTTGAAATGAAATTTATTCATTATCAACTATTAGTCTTACAAAATTAGTCTTAAAGGTCAAATTACTAAAAGAATTATTTCATTAATGGAGTTCTTTTTCAAATCTGTGAAAAAAGATTTCAAAAAAAATAGTTCTTTCATAATGGCGCCCTCTATTTTCAATATTATTTAAGTAATAGCAAAGCAGATTTAAATTTATTCAGAAAATCAATACTTTTTTTTGGAAGATGATTAATCAAAATTTCAATTAATAAAAATAACTAAGTCTTCGTTTATAGTTTTCAGATGTTTAAAAAGTCTAAACATCTTCTTAAATCTATTAACTAAAACTAAAAACTAAAAAATCATATATTTTCTATTTATCAATCAATTTTATCTTTGATATTTTACATTATATATTAAGTAAGTTAATTTAGCATATTTAAAAAAAAATAATCATTAAATAATTGAATTATTAATTTTAATAGAAATAGAGAATGTAGATTAGATGTACTTAAGCTGATCATCAAAATCAATAAATAATAGGCTTTTGCATAGATACTACATGTACAAATTAAAGACCATATTGTCATTTTTGCTTGCCAAGCCATGTTCAACATTTTGATAAGTTGACATCTTAAGAATTGATATCTGGATGGATTAAGGATAGAATTCTAATGGTTCAATATGTTTAAAAGAATGTTTAAGAATGTAAATTTGCACTTGATAGTCTTATAAATTTTTTCCTTCCTTATAATAACTTTAATTTTTAATAATTACCAGGATTAGGATTATCCCAGATTGATTAATTCATAAAAGTTTTATGTGGAATGGGAGATTGCGAAGAACAGTTATTTAAACAACTTCAAGAATCAATTAAATAAACCAAATCGATTGTAAATATAATAATTACAAAAATAAAGAATCAAATAACTCTAAAATAAAATGATAATTAATTACTTTAAAGACGTAATATAGTTATATAAATTTCTGAATAACCGAAGCTTCTTAATATGTTAGAACAAAATGTAAAACTATTCACCTTTGACCTCATGAAATAATATTCAATTAAGTAAGATGAATGGTGTTAAGCAATAGCTTTTAACAAAGATTACTCAAAAGTAGTAGCTGGATGTGATAATGATATTAAGGTATTTCAACATATAAACGGGAGACTGAATTAAATATAAGTATTAAGTGTACTTTAAATTTTATGAAAAATACAAATAATTTTGTATCTGGAAGTTTTGATTTTTAAATTATAATATGGTAGACGGTTGAAAATTAGTTTTGGAGATGTTTATAAAAATTGATTGGACATTCAGATTCTATATTTTGTTTATTATTAAAAAATACTGATGATCTAATTATATCAGGTAATAGAGATAAAACAATAAAATTTTGGATTAAATAAGATTATTGGTCTTGTTAATAAACTATAACTGATCATACTGATTATGTATTTTCATTAAGCTTAAATGAAAAATAAAATAAATTGATATCTTGTTCAAATGATTCATAAATATTGGTTATAGAACAGTCAAAGTTGAATAAAAAATGGTTTGTAACATAAAAGATATAAGTAGTTTAATTTGGGTTAAGACTATGTTTTATAAATGATGACTAATTTACATTCTAACCCTTACTTAAAGAATAAATGGATGTATATGAGAGGGATAGTAATAATAAAGAATATAGAAAGACGAAGGAAATTGCTGTAAAATCTGATACAGGTTTAGATGTTGGGTTATTTCCAAAATAATACTTAAAGTCAAAACGCCTTCTAGTAAATAAAATTGGCAATTTTATTAATTTAATGAGGAAGAAATAAAATGGTGACTTTATAATTTAATAAACTATTGAATTTGATAATATCCATATTTATGGATAATTAAGTGACGACGGAGAGTATTTAATCACTTGGGATAGTGGATCAAAGGAAATATAAATAAGAAAATTTAGAGAATTATGAGAATTATAATTTATAAGTTATAATATGTAAGAATATATAATTTTTAATATACTTATTAATAAATTAAGAATAAATTTCAATGAGTTAAAAGTATGTTATTAAATTTAATTTTCAGTTTATCAGTTATTTTGTAATCTATATATGATTCAATATGTTTATTCAAGAAAGTGATTGTATATATATTTGATGAGAAAGATTATTTTCGAGATAATTCATCAGATTAAAAACAAAATAATACATTATTATAAATTGGCATGAATGAATTTTAATATTTGCAATAATTTAATCATATTTCCAATTTAAAAATATTTATTTAGTATATAGTTGATTAAATATAGAGAACTAGTTAATATTGATTATTAATCTGCCAAA